GATGGCTAGTTATGGCAAGAGTGTAGGGCAAAATGGCTTGCCAAACGCAATGTGTCAGCAAACATTCAGCCTTAGTGCTAGAGATCTCCAAGATCTCCTTTGTTGACAAGGCCAAAAAAGACTCAGAGTTATTAGCTGCATCCACCTGTTGAAGTAATGCACTGCCAAGGATTTTGGAGGGTAGGAATCCACACAAATTTTAAACAGCGATGGAGCAATTGTTTTTCTATAGACATGGGCTAATGGAACAGCAAAAGTAGGAAGTCTGATGGGTTCTGCAACCTTTGTGGGAGAGAAGGTTGACACTTTTCTGCATTGGAATAGCTCACCAAACTTCATGGAAAAGTAGAATTGCACAGGATGGACAACTGGGACTATAAACTAAGTAATGACTCTTTTTCCTGGCTGGATCTTCAATCGGCAGTTGCACGTTTTGAGTCATTGCCACATCAAACTAGTTCTTTTGCTCACCAGAGAGATTGCTGTCATCCAAACTTCAATCACAAAGGATTCTTTCTATGTAAGCACTACTAGAGCCATGCACTACAGAAATAAGAGGTGATGCACCAAGCCCCTGAAGACAATGAATGCCTGTGCAACTATGCATACACTGGGTGTAATACAACTTATGGAGATATACCCAAGCTAGCTTTAATATAGCTAACTCAGGTACCGGTAGCACTGAAGCTGCTTTAGTGTGAGCTAGCCATGTGAGTAATTGCCCAGGGTTTCTGGTGAGCTTCTACAGCCCATGCTGAAGAGACTTCACTGTTCCAGTACTCAAGTTAATTATATTAAAGGTAGCTCATGGATGTCTACACGAGCTGCAGTCACAACGTATAATATTGCTCATACCTTCTTTTTATGAAAGCTGTTTGAAGCTGATAAATCTTGAAAATAAAGTAGATCAGAACCAGGAAGAGGATAATCTTTGGTCCAAGACTTTCTGAATGACAATTGATTTCACTTTGTGAGTTGAGGGAGATGTAGTGAACATTATTCTGGAAGATGAAAATGGGACCTGTGGCTTAGATTCAAGGCCAGATCCTCATTCAGCCAAACCCCATTAAGTCAATCCATCCTTGGAGTCAGTGAAACTAAATTTGAGTTACATAGGCTGAAAATCTGGCCTTCTGTGTATAGCCTAACTAGTGCACAAGGAGTCTAAGGTCCCTATGGATCCAGTCATTCCAGTATTAGGATACATCTGGAACTCAGTACAAAACAAGAACTGGTGTTGCAGTACATTAGGCCAGTACTTAAGGGGTTGTATAAAAGATGAAATCACATTAAAAATCCATAGCTGCATTGTTTGCTTTATTTAAATACAGAAACTTTGCTCAATTTCATATAGACACATTATGTTACCATATGGATTGTAGCATGACATAGTACTGATTCCTTGATGTGTATTCCCAGATAACAATGGTGAGGTCTGTACTATTCTGTAAAAGAAGTCCTTGTGGGACCAGTGGATTGTATGCTACAAAATACAGCTAATATGGCAATGCAAGTATCCTCACGAACAGGGGCGGCTCCAGGCACCAGTGCACCAAGCGCGTGCCTGGGGCAGCGAGCCGCGTGGGGCAGCCTGCCGGTCGCCGTGAGGGCGGCAGTCAGGCTGCCTTCGGCGGTGTGTCTGTGGGAGGTCCGCCAGTCCCGCGGTTTTGGTGGCAATTCGGCGGCGGGTACGCCGAAGGTGCAGGACGGGCAGACCTCCTGCAGGCATGCTGCCGAATCCGCGTTACCAGCGGCCGCCAAAAGCCACCTGACTGCCGTGCTTGGGGCGGCAAAATACATAGAGCCGCCCCTGCTCACAAATGCATACTTGTTACCAATTTACACAGAAAGACTGTTCTTTAGTACTTTTAAATACAATAATTTGGTAAATAAACGGGGGTGCAAGAACTTTAAAATGAATTTTATGTGCATTTTTTCTCACAATTAGACTAAAGTTGTAAAGTCCTGTTGAATTATAACTGATACATGCAGTGGACAAAAGCACGTACCAGACAATGTAGGGACACATTAGGTAATCGCTTATAAAGCGTTGATTTAGAGCTGTAGAGCGACTAAGAGTTTTAATAAAATCTAGCACCCATATAGCACTTTACATGTTCAAAGCATTGTAGAGACTTCAGATGATTTAATTAATAAAATAGCCAGTTCAACAAAATACTCGTAAGATGTAAGTGACTTTGTTTTCTATCACAAAAATGCATTTTGGGACAGCTAGTTGCATCATGACATTGTGGGTCTAGCTTGAGAGTTTGTAACATCCTACTATGCAGATTTATAAGAGACAAGCACAGTACTTAATTTGTAATGAAAGAGGTGATGGGACTCAAGCCATTTTTTTACGTTCATAACTGACGCAGCAAGCCCAGGGGTGCCAGAGCTATGAACTGCCAAGCCTAGAGGTGCTAGGGCTCAGCCTGGCACAAATTAAGCACTGGACAAGCACTTCTGCTCAGGTAGAATCTAGCACATCAAGTTCAAAACAAGTCCAACTAGGGAGGCAAAAAAGAGGATTTTTAAAAACTTGGCTTTTATTTGTTGAATAGAAACTTGACTAGATAGAGGCTACATTTTCCAGCACCAAAATTTTTTACAATGAATATACCCAGTACTGCAATCAAACCTACACTAAGGGACTTGTGCACCTGTAGAGAGCCCTGCTGATTTCAGTGGTACTGCATGTGGGCTAAAGGGTCTTCCCGTGAAGGTCTGCTTAGAGAATCAGGACCCTTTTTTGGATAGGGAATGAACAAGAATACTCAATTCTGCAATTCTAAAAATCAGTATAACCAAACAAGGCTGGTTATTGCCAGTTCAGAAGTAACTCTGTGCAAGCACGTTCCAGATAGAATTGTATGCCGCTTATTGCTGTGCACACAATTACAAAAATCATTTGTATTGAAGTTACTTTTCACTGTGGTGACAAAAAAGTGTGCTTGTTTAAAAAAAAAAAAAAGTTAAAATGCATTTAAAAATATAGTGACGCTATCCAGTCTGAATGGCAGTAATGTGGTGATACCACTCCAGAACTGGACTGAGTCTAAGCAGAATTAACCTGAGATCATGAACACTGAATCAAAACCAGGTGATGCCAGACACGGAGTCTGAATTTCCAACAGTTTAACTACCAAAAACATCTGTTTCTGTGTGTTTGTAATTCCACCTTTTTTAAAAAGTGTTTTAAAAGATGTGAACAATTTTACAAATTAAAAAAAAAAGTCCCCAGCACATGTATTTGTAATTACCTCGTTTAGTCTGTGTGTTTAATCAGTTTGAATTGAGAATGCCATGTACATCTGATTTCAATCTGAAGGAGCCAGTGAGTATTGGACAGTTACTCTTCTTGCATCTGCCAGAATATTCCTGCGCCAAAAAAAGGATAGAACTAACACCAGGTTATTTTCTAAAGAAGCCACTTGACTCCAATTAAATGTTTAACTTCCTTAAAATATTGTTTTGGATTTAAGTCTTTGTTCTGTTCTGTAATTGGGATTTTTTTTATGTAGTTTAGGAATATCACTTGTAGGTTGGATGTGCTCCAGCACCCAGCTGGCATTGCGAGGGACTGTAGGGAAGTGAACGGCATAGTCTGTGGTTGCTACTCTGAGTAGGGCTCAGAGCGGGGAGTTCATGGATGTGGTTCTGTCTGGTTTTATTCCTGATAAAGATATCTTTTTCAATCGTATTTGAAAAGTGAGGGAATTTTTAAAATGTATAGTCTTGCTTTCTTGATGTACAATTAGAGGCTAGGAAACGCTGTGTCTATCAGGCTGCTGTGATGTTCTGTATAGTGGGCCAAATTGTGAAGTCCTTCCCAGACAAAAATTCTATTGACTCACTTGATGGGAACTGAGTAAGGATTTTGTCCTTTAGCCTATTGTGGGCTACTGTGTGATAGCCTCTTAGGCTCTGTGCAAAGATTTAGGCATGCCCTTAATGTGGGGCAGTGAGTGGGCCAATTTGAGTCCAGTGGGACTACTCACTTGCTCAAAGTTAAGCATGTGCTGAAGGGTACATCTACACTGCACACACCTTACACCAGCACGTAGATTACATACATTGCAC